AATAAATTGATTTTTAATAATTGAATTTCAAAGAAACAAATATGGGGAGGTATTTTCAAATACTTCACTATAAAACCGTCAACTTGCACTATATTAGAGAAGCCATAAAGTTTTTTTGGATTTTTAGATCACACTGACTGACGTCTTCTAACATCTATATATGGATTTTTTTTCACGGCATTATGCTGCCATATGGGTAGATCCAATTTCAGAGTTAAACCGTATTATTTAGCCATGAAAAGGCTACCACAACTGTCATAAACAAATGTCATTTTACAAGTTCTTATTTATTTAGCCATCAGGAATAATGATTCATACTGAGTAAAAGCCATTTTAGAAGTTCTTGTAGAAAGTTGTTGGAGTTTGTTGCATTGCAAAATTTCTTGTGCCCTTATTTCACTAGAATAAGGAAAAAAACATTTAAAAATCTTAGTATTTTACTTTTTCTCCATATGAACACATATGTACAACTTCACACACATACACAGTTAGCAATATCCTTTAGCTTTCAGCCATGCTTAAATTCAGGCAGAAAAATTAAAACAGTAACGTTTAGAAAATTTTTTAATACATAGTAATGCTGTTATAAATGTTTGGATTCTATTAAACTATTGGGGGTAGTAAATTTATCTTTTAAGGGAACTGAAACAGATATAAAATACTTTTCATCAATCATCTAATAAAATTCTCTAAAAGAATTAGTATATATGTATATACATACATATATATATATATGTATATATATATTCAATTGAGTCCTTTAGTTTAAAAGCATGTATTATAAAAATTTTAAAGAATAAAACCACAGAAATTGATGCTTCCATATTAACTAAAATTGTAAACATCTTAAAATTTTAAAACACTGAACTTTTTTGTAGAATCATTGATCAATTTCACATAGCCCTCTGTTATTTTCTGCTTAGGAAGAGCTATAATAAAAATAATGAGAAAACAAATCTGTTTTTTAACTCTAAAAGTTGTTAACATAACTAATTCAATTTCTCATATTTCTAAAACTATAATTAGGGTCATTACCAGTAGTATCCACTTTTCTGCTTAGAAATAAACCCACCAAGCTATTCAGATTAGCATAAACATTATAAATTTACTAAACATCTTCATACAATACATGTTAATTGCAAGACTGAAGAGTTGTATGTAGATTTCTTACATTCATAGATACACAAATAACCTAGGTTTCAAGATATATTTTTTAGTTTGCACTGCAAGATGATAAAATGTAGTTTGTATAAATAATAATTTTATAAACAATATAATTTAGTCCTGCTTAGGACATAGGAGGCTAATGGATTATTTTTATACTGGATGACTCATGATAATTCAAATAAACCTTGGTAGATATCTGTATTGACATTTTGTACTGATTACATTTTCAACCATATGTCTGGGTGCAAAATTATGTCCTATTTGAGTTTGCATATTTGTGTGTTTCTATATGTTAAAGAAATAATGTCACTTTTTCCACAATTCCAAACATCTCCATCATTAATTCATTAAATAGGAGAGAGATGAGATCTCAGCAGGAAGAGGATAGAGTATATTTTTAATAAATGTGTAGTGTAGTTTTTAATCCCTTACTTTCATTTAATGAACCTGTGATATTAAGGTATGTGTAATTAGAGCTGTCAATATTGAATTCCAAATGTGCACTGCACTATGGATTTAATTTAAATCTCTCTATCCCTACTTTTCTCGTCCCATCACCACTGGGAGAAATTGAAGCACTTGACTGCTGCTGTGGTAAATTGGATCCTAATAAGTACGATGCTTTACTGCTTCTTGTTTTTGCTAAGATACAACTGCATTATTTCAGAAGAACTCACCTGGGCATTAACTCAACAAAAAATTGTGGTAGGAGAGTTATATTTTCCACCTTTTGATATTTCAGTAAAGGCCTTGCATATAAAGTGGTCCAGCAGCTGATTCTCACCATGCACTGATGCGCTTATCATTTTGACCTCAGGTGTGGCAGATTCACCTCTAGGGGCATAGAAATAATATTCTTTCCTGCATTTCAAATTATTTGAGATTATAATTTCTAAATCTGAAAATACAACATACTGAAATAGGTAATGTTTAAATATGAAAAGATCAATTTCTGAAGCTACCTAAAAATATAAATAACAATGTAGGTGATGGTAAGTCTTGTTTAAAATTAGAATCATGTTCTGAGAAATCAACATCTGTGCTGTAAGAAACTAAATCTAGTATCCAATCAATAAATCCTCCTTAAAGTTAAACAAAATCTTTCATGAAACAAAGGCTCCTTAAATGGAGACATGTGAAAGTGATATAAAATATACTAACTACTATCAAGCATTGGGACATCTATTAATCTCACGTACTGCTAATAGGCATGTGAATTAGTACAGATATGTTGAGGTGCTTGCAGTGTTTGTTAAACCTAAGTGCATCTAAGATATTGCAAAAGAAATACAAACAAATGTGTTCCTAAAGTCACATGCATGAGTATTCATTACACACTATTCACAATAGGTCAAACATGGAATAACACAAATATCGATGTGCAATGTGCAATAAAATTCTATAACAAACATAAAACAAAATACTATTACACACTATTAATCAACAAACGGACACATAGAATAATGTGAATTAATCCCAGAAACACAATTCTGAATGAAAGAAAGCAGAGGAAAAAGACTCTATGCTGCTTAATTCCATTGTAATGAGTGCAGAAAGAGTAAAATTTAGTGTGAGATATAGAAGTTATATTGATGTTTACATATGAGCAAGATTCGGAATGGAGTTCTATTTCTGGACATTACTATGTGTCATTATAGTAAAAATTTCTCTTTTCAAAGATTCCCTGAGCTGGTCACTTAAATGTCCACTGACTGTGTCACATTTCAACTTAAAATATTTACTTGAAAAGCCTTAGTATAAGTGATAACCCATGAGATATCACCATGAAAAAATAGGGGTTCATTTGTATGCTTTGCTTCTTGGTTTGTTGTTTTTGTGGTACTGGGATTTGAACCATTACCTTTTCACTGAACTTTATTCTCTAGCCTTTCTTTTTAAATTGTGAGACAGTGTCTCATTAAGTTAATAAATAAAAATAGTTTTTCAATTTCCATTTTACTATCCATAACACTTTCCATGTATTTTTTTCCATCACATTATATATTTAATTTTATTACATTATAAAATTATTGTGTTAGAGGCTTTGTATTATTATTATGGTATAAGAAGGGTCTATCAGACAATAGTATTAATGAAAATGATAATTTTGAAAGTCATTATTAGTAGAGTATTAATGTAGTATTAGTGTAGTATTATTGAGTATTAGTTGTTTCAATTTTATTGCAAATTATTTGTGTATTAACTTGGTTTATAAAATTATATGGTTTAGGGCCAGGGATATAGCTCAGTGGTTCTGCCACCTGCCTCACAAATGCAAGAACCCAGGTTTGATCCCCAGAATAAAAAATATATATATACAATTTAGTTAACATTCAGTCCATTATTCAAAACAGTAGACTGAAGCACTTGGTAGTACAATTAATTGCCTAAGACTCAGGGCTACCAAGCAATGAAAATAGGACTGAAATCCAGGCTTTTTGTGTTCATTTTGTAACTGGTATGCTCTAAAGAAGAAAAGATTAGGCATATAACAACACAGACTGGGCACACAATAAATTATGCAATTTATAACATCATGTAAAATAACTATTATTCTCCCTGCTGAATACAGAGAATGGGAACAGATGGATAGGTGCATTTATTCACAGGTAACTCTATGCCCTGGGCACTGAAAATGCAGTGAATTAAAACATAAGATGAAGTCCTAGCCATCAGAAACTACAGTTTTAGTAAAGAAGATAGTATTTAATGAAATTATCACATTGGCTGTAAGTTTTATTAAAAAAATCTGCATAAGAATAGTGGTTTATGCAAGGTGAACTCTAGAAACTAAAGGAAGATGCTGGGACATAACCATGAGGTGCTGTCATCTGCCTCTCAAGTGCAAGGTCCTCAGTTCCAGCCCCAGTCCAAAAACATAAATAAATAAAAGTACAAAAAGTCTTAGGAAATGTGATTACAAGGAATTTGAAATTTGAGGTTGATGTTATATATAAAGAATGACAATGTGATCATCTTGGGTTCAGAAACACTACACATTGAAGAAATAATAAAGTTATTTTAACAAAAAATGATTCTGCAAATAATCAAGGTCATGAAATTAGATGAAAACACAGAGTCACCAAGGTTAAACTTCTCATTCTGTATGATTTGCTTCATCATTGAAAGTTTCTCAGACATATTTGTTTCTAAAATGATAAGGACAGGTCTGGAAATTTCAGTGGCCCAGTCCCTGGCCAGCAAGTGCAAGGTCCTGATTTTGACCAAACAAAGCAAAGCAAAACAAAACAAAAACCGTGGTAATTACAGTGGAATAAATAATCTGGTAGTCTTCTCTTTATAGTGAGTGCAGGATGATAGAATCCAAGCCTTATTTTACTCTACTGTGGTCTTTCAGAAAATCACAGAAGTACAATTTTAGATGACTGTTATTTCCAGTGTCTGAGTCAAAAGTCAGTACGTAGTGCTTGAATAGTGGAAGGACTGGTGCTGTTGGATTCAGAAGGCATCTGTCTCCTTAAAGTGGAACAATGACATTGCCATTAAAACATTTTGACATTTGTCACTTTTTGTCATGTCCCTAAAATGAAATCCCTTATGCGTGGGAACCTGATACATCAACATCCTGTCATCTTTCCAGGATTCACAACAACCATAGTGAATCCAGCATGGCACTGTGTAGCTCAACACTTCTAAACTGAAATTCCTGAAGTGGGAAGCAAAGTTGCAGTGTGAGATGTTGGTTTTGTTTATATGTTGTGAATTACATGTTAATTCAAAACCTTGAGATGTAGGGTTGAATTTTATTAATATACACTGGTCAAACAATGCAAATTTATTTCAAGTTACCCTATCCTCTATCTGTTCTATAGAAGTAAAGCAAGAAGCAATCAGTACATAGGACAAGCAGGCTGACTTTATGAAAGTTTGCTGTAACTGGAGTTGGAATACAGAGCACAGGATTGTGAAGAAGAATATATTGTTGTGCTAAAGCTGATCTAGTAGAGTCGTGAGGACATATGGGAAGGAGGATACAGAGGGAAGCCTTGAAGAGAATGCCTACTTTGAGTAAGAGTCTGGTTATACACTAAAATTGAACTCTTAAGGTTTCAAGTAATGAGAATTGTCACTAATCAACAATCTATGTTGACATTGCTCTATGCAATTTGGAACACTGCCTTACTGAATCCTTTAAAAAACATGAAAGAACTGTTATTACTTCCCTTTTACAAAGAACCACATATTTAAAAGGTCTGGTGATTTTGTGTTAGCTTATCAAATACTCAGCCTCAAAAACAGTTATGTTTATAATTGTATCTAATTGGTGATTCAAAATAGAAGCATATAGACATATTATTTAATTGATTAGATGATCTGGATAATTGGCAAGACTATTCTTAAAACTTTACTCAATATATCTGGAGTGAAATAACTCTAAAACAAACTTTCCATGTTCCATTTGGTTGTGTCTTCTCCCCTCATCTGATTCATTATGTCTTCCTAGATCTTAAGGATTAATTGAAATACAGAGATTTAGTGTATAAAAATGATAGTCTTTGAAGTACCTGAAGCTAAAAAAACATTTGATTGGTAATAGCAAGGTTCAGAAAACCTGCCATTTTCTATTTTGCAAAGTCAAAAGACTACTTCAAATCTCATTTTTAAGTAATTAGCAGAGAAAAAATAACTCTTCTTAAATTAAACTTTTGTGAGGATGAACCTTTTGGTTCTGTCATAATTCATAAATAGAAAGTTATTTGCAGAAATATTGATTCCAAGTTGAGTTTTTCTAATTAACATCGTATCCTAGTATTCTGTTTATTGTTTACTTATTTTGCCTGCATAATATAATACATAAGAAACTGCACTAATTGTATATATATATATATATATATATACACACACACATACATATATTTGTGCATATATATATATGTACATGATATATATATATACACACACACATACATATATTTGTGCATATATATATATGTACATGTTATATATATATGCACACACACACACACACGTGTGTGTGTGTGTGTGTGTGTGAGACAGAGATTAAACTCCAGACCTTGAGCTTGAAAGGCAGGCAGTAGAATCACTGAACTAAATTTCTGGCCCTATACATGTATTTTTGAAAAAAACTAAGGTTTTCAAAAAACAACAATGGTTCACAAATACTAGAAATAGCTGGGCATGGTGGTGCATGCCTGTAATTCCAGCACTCAGGAGGCTGAAGTAGGAAGATTGCCATGAGACCAACCTGGGCCACATAGTGAGTTTAAGGCCAACCTAAACTATGCAATGTGTCCCTGTCTCAAACAACAAACAAAGAAAAAATACTAGTAATAACAACAAGCCTTAGAATTCCCCTCAGCTTTATCAAACTTTAGACATACTTCTGCATAGCACAAGGGTGCTGACTTCATTTTCCTTAGGCAGAATGTACTTTTAAAAATATGGAAATTATGTACTTGATCTTTGGAGTTTTATGTATTTTTTTAAAAACTTCTTGATAATTTTAAACCCTAGGAATGCCCTTCTTATCAATCTGAAGTCATATATCACAAGCAAAATTATCAAGAGAAATAGAAACTATTTCTTATTCTCTTAGAAGGGTAGGAACCTAACATTTTTGTGTCTTTACCCAAGGTATAAAATTACCATCTACCATAAGTTAAATTTCTTTTTCTCTTGGATAAAGCCAATAAGCAAATATAGATCATTTATCTTCTTCCCTATTATCTAAGCTCTTGAAAGTTTGTATTTCCTCCCTTAACTAAGTTAAATTCAATCTCTCTTACAATATCCTGAAACTCTCTGCCTCTTTAAATTTGTCTAGTGTGATCTTTGCTTTGACAATAATCAGCAGCAGCTCCAAGCAGATTTATATGGTCTTATTAACAGATTACTGTGCTTCATTAAGTAAAGTACAAAGACACTAAAGCAGACATCAGTCATATCAGATATATAGAACTGGACAAAAGATGCATAAGCGATCGTGAACAGTACTTGGGACTTTGGAGTTAGGAATCCAGAATTCTAGAATTCTAATTGGCATATGCCCCCAAAAAGGCGGGACTCTTTTGTTTGTGGCTATGAGATAATTTACCACACAAGTGCTGTGTACATTTATCAGAACCTAAGAAAGAATACAAATTATAAAAATACACAATTAAATCACTTGGTGGATTGTGTGTTACTAACAAAAAGAATATCTACAAGTAGTTGCAGAATGTGCCACAATATTTTACCTATTATATTAGATGAGCATACATTTCAGATCCCTTCTTCAGAAGCTAAGTTTCAAACTCCAAATAGTTTGAAAGGCAAGAGCAAATTACTGTTATTTGTTGGCAAATATTTTCATTGAATTATCTACTCTTTAAAGTCTTTTTGCACTCTAAAATTCAATATTATTAAATTAGATAAGTATTTTTGCATCCAGTTAGGAAATGAAAAATATAATAAATCTATTTGAATTTTAGGTACTTTGGCATTAAAATATTTATAAATTAATAAAATTAAAACAGTATACTGTATTAGCTTTGTATTGCTTTGTAACATATTGCCTCTGATTTAGCAGTTTAATACAGTATTTATTATCTGGAAGAATTTTTTGTGGGCTCAGCTCATAGTCTGTTTAAATTCTTACAAAGTACAGATCAATGTTTACTAGAAGACTTTCATTTGGATCTTTGGGGAACAATCCTCTCCCACGTTCATTCATTTTGTTGGCACAATTTATTTTCTTGATATTATAGGAATGAGATTCTTGTTGCTAGATGTCAGCATAGGTTTGCAATCTTCCCCAAGAGACCACCCATTTTCCTTCTCATGTGGATCTTCCATCTTGGAACAGTAAATGTGCACTGAGTTCTCATAATTAGAGTATTTCTCACTTCTGCTATCAGCCAGAGAAAGTTCTTTGCCTTTCAGGATTTATGTGATTATATGTCGACCACCCATATAACTTAAGAAAACCTCCTTACTTTAAAATCAAATGACTCATTTAACATAACAATAAAAAAGTAATAACTAATATATACAGAATAGGTTTTCAGGATAATGGCCACCCAAATTTCAGGAATCATTTTAGAACTTCTTCCTATCACAAATATTTCCTTTATATTTTATTTATATTGAAAAACTATTAACTTTAAATAAAAGCACATTATAACAACTATATATTTTAAATGAGGTAAAAATAATTAGTGAATTATAATTACTGAGGGATAACAGTTTGGTACTATACACATTATTTCAAGTGAGTTATATTATTTATTTCTCACAAAAAAATCTGAAGTGGTGAGCTCTCATTCTCTAATTTACAGATAATAAATTCAAAGTATAGAGATGCTAAAACCTTGTCAAAGTCTCACAATTAGAGATAGTTCAGACTTTCATCAAAATTAATAAAATGTACAACAAAATGGCAGATTTAGTTAAACTTTCTATAGCTCCCTGGTAACTCAGCAATCTCTCACTGTCTTCTATTTTTGCATCATATTATCTAAATTTAATCCAATATTGAAACTATGCATGGTCACAATATATAGAAACATTCTTTTTTTTTCTCTCATTGAGTTTATTGGTACATTTTAGATATACAACACGGTTACATTCATCATTGGGATCTTGTACCCTTACATGATAGGTCTTGGTTATCATTTTCAAATTGAGACAAATTGAGTGGAAAAGTATGTTGCATCTCTAAACATTTCCTTAAACTTAAAAAAATGTAAATTCACAAATAATACAAAGTATAATAATGTGCCTATATTCCTACATTTTCCAGGAATATACACAACTAATTATATCTTCCTCTGGCCTGCCACTTTCAGAAAAAAATAATTTTCTTAATGAAATAATAAATTTTAAAATTAACTTTATTGATAAAATTTTAATATACAAAATGATCAGATTCATCAAAGGAAGCCTGTACCTGTACATAATATAGCTTGATTCCTCTTCCTCTTCCTTTTCTCTTTCCTCCTATCAACCTCTCCTCCCCCTCATTTAAAAAAAACTTTCTTTCTATTTTTTCCACCTTTTACTGATTTTTTTATTTTTATTTTTTTAATCTGGTTGAATTTATTGGCACTTTTTTTTTTTTTTTTTTTTTTTTTTTTTTTTTTTGGTACCGGGGATTGAACTCAGATCCTTGTGCTTGCAAGGCAGGCCGCTGAACTGCTGAGCTAAATCCAAGGCCCCTTGAGTTTATTGGCACTTTTTAAGTACACAGTCCAGTTACATTCATCATTGGATCACGTACCCTTACATGACAGATCTTGATTATCATTTTTCCCCATATCCCTGCCCTTCCTTCACCCCCTCCATCTCCCCTATTTACAAAGACTTTGTTTCCATTTCTCATATTTTTCTTGTCCCTTATTTCTTTGCTCCTACTCTTCCCACTGCCCCTATACCTTTAGCCCTTTTCTTCCTATTTCACATTATCAGTTATACAATTTATATACAGTTAAACAAGTTACACTTTCAGTTTTTCACACCAGAGAAACTATTCAGCATTTACATGTGTCTCTTTTATTTCACTTAAGAAAATGGCATCACTCTGCATCCGTTTTCCTATGAATGATTCTAGTCTCCAATTCTTTATGGCTTAGTATTATTCCATTTTGTATAAAAACCACACCTTCTTTATCCATTCTCCAACTGATGGATATATGAGCTGTTTCCAAGTTTTATCTGTTACAAACTGTTCCGCTATGAACATAGGTGGGCATAAATCACTGTGGCATGATTCTTTGAATTATTTTGGAATGATACACAGCAAAGGGATAGCTGGGTCAGATGGAACCTCTCATCCTACTTCTTTGAGGTATCTCCAAATTGATTTCCATAGTGGTTGCACCAGTCTGCATTCCCAGCAACAAGTGAGAAGAGATCCTTTCTCCCCACATCCCCGCCAACATTTGTTATTGGTTGATTTCTTGATAGCAGCCATTCTTTCTGGAGTGAGTTGGAATTTCAGTGTTGTTTCATCAGCATCTCTCAGATGAGCAGTGATGTGGAACATTGTTTCATATATTTAGTTTCTGCTT